AAATTTTGTTAAAATTGAACAACAACTTAAAGGTAATCAAAGTGTTCATATTTTAGTATATTTTGAAATGAATATATTATGTCAATTTTGTTTTATAAGAATGAAGTATCAAATCATCTTGGATTAATATAAAATTTTGTATATATGATCTAAGAGTAAAGAACTTTCAATCTAACGGTTGGATTTACAAAATTCACATTTAATATAAAGTTATTTAGTAGTGTAATACTTAGTAAAAGTTATACCGGTGTTATTTGAATCCTCTCTATGTGTGTGTGTGTGTGTATATATATATATATATATATATATATACTGGTATAACTTTTACTAAGTATTACACTACTAAATAACTTTATATTAAATGTGAATTTTGTAAATCCAACCGTTAGATTGAAAGTTCTTTACTCTTAGATCATATATACAAAATTTTATATTAATCCAAGATGATTTGATACTTCATTCTTATAAAACAAAATTGACATAATATATTCATTTCAAAATATACTAAAATATGAACACTTTGATTACCTTTAAGTTGTTGTTCAATTTTAACAAAATTTGACGTACACATATAAAGTGATATGAACTTTCAATTTAACGGTTGGATTTATAAAATTCACATTTAATATAAAGTTATTGAGCGGTGTAACACTTAGTAAAAGTTATACCGGTGTCGTTTGAACTTTGAGTATTAAATCAACATATATACAATCTTACAATTTTTACTATTTTGATTTTTTTATCAACATATATAATAAATAGAAAGTACAAAAAGATAAACATCCATGCTATAAATTTTATTTTTATCATTTTTTTTAATATATTACATTATATTTGTGAGCATTAATATAACTTTGTCATAAATGAGAACTAATCTCATTCAAAAGTTTGACAAATGTTAAATAAATGAACAGTTCTACCGAATTTATATTTTATACATATGATAATTTAAATATATATATATTATTAGAATATAACTTTTATTTTTTAAAATATATTCTTTTTTGTATAAAAAATTTATGTATGTGTAAGATGGTAGTGGGGGCAAGTACCCCGGGCCTATATGTAGATCCGTCCCATTGATTGGTCACCGAGTATTTTTAATATCCTATTTTTATAGGAAAAAAAACTGTTATATATATTTATTACCACATTATTTTGATATTATTTTCATGATTATGTACATAACTTTAGTTAATTTGCTACATGAAAAACATTGTAAGTGATTCATGTAATTAATATCCCAAAATGCATTCTTGAGGAAATAAAATCACTGCGGTATGGTTAAAAGAAAGTCAGTTATCTGTTAATTGTGTATATGCTTAGCTTCCAAGTTCCAACATATTATATTTACAGTTATTGAGAGTTTTTTTTTCCAACTCCATGCATGCATCAATTTCTCACACAAAGTCAACAAGAATCTGAACAAATGATTACATATATACACACAAATCCAAATCATTAAAGGTAACAACGACAATTCACTTCTCCCCCTGACTTGAGCCGGAGATGAATCAACGTACATTTGACGAAATTAATCAAACTCCACAAACAAATCCTTAACTAAAACTAATATGTATACATGCAGGCACAACCTTGTTCATGATCAACCTCAAAGTAATGATAAACAAATCAACACCGATTGACTAATTGACATCATGGATCTTCTTCAAGGTCAGGCAAGGGAAACCTGAGAATTGCAGCAACACCGGTAAGCTGCGAGAGTTGGGGCGCGGAAACATGCATGGAAGAATACACCAAAGCCTTTCCGCCACCCTCTTTCACGGATTTCACCAAACCCTCGTACCTCTTCCTCGTCCCAACCTCGTTGTTCCTATAAAGCTCATCGCAAATCAATAGCGTCTCAATGGCCCTAACCTCACGCGCACGCTCCACCTCCGCCTGTCCATAACACGCGCGACCCGAATCGTTGCAAACCATCTCCCACAGCTCCCTAAACGCGCCAACTTTAACGTCTTTCACCAAATCCGTCACCGCCGGGTCACCCAACACTTTCCCCAAATCACCCTCGTGCCCCGAAACCACAACTATTCGCGTTTTGTTCTCCTCCAACCAACGGTTCCTCAACCTCTTCGCTTCGGAAGACACAAACCTACGAAACTCCTCGCTCGATAAAACCACGCTCTTGACAACGTTAAAATCCACGTGCTTCACGAGCGCAGCGAAAACTTGCCTGAAGAACACGGTCGAACCGGAACCGTGTCCGGTTTTTTTTCTCGGTTCGATTTTGAAGCAGCGAGCGGTGGCGCCGTGTCCGACGAGGTGGATCTCGGCGTGGTGTTGGTGGAAGAGGACGACGGCGAGGTCGGGGGGAGAGTTGTTAGGGTTTGACTTTTGGGCGGTTTCGTTTAGGGCTTGGACGGCGTCGTTTTCCCAGAGCTTTTTGCGGAGGTGGAAGGGCTTGTGGGGCTCAAGGGTGAGGGTGTGGAAGGATCCGGCGGCGACGTGGTGGTTCTGGTGGAGGTTGCGGCCGTGGAGGCGGAGGGTGGAGGAGTCTTTGTGGAAGTCGCGGCACGTGACTTTGAGGTGGAGGGTGAGTTTGACACGTGACACGGCGTGCTTGGTGGAGGATTCGAGGTGGACTTTACGGGTGGTGTCGGCGGAGACCACGTCGCCGGGGAGGATGAGGTTGTAGAGGAGCCACACGTCGTCGGGTTCTTCCGCCACGATCTTCGCACTTCCGGTTTGGTTCACGGTGAAGTCTTTTTCGAGTAGCTTCATTGAAGGGTTAATTAGTTTTAGGTGATATGAAGTTTACGTGGAGGAAGATCGAATGGGTGATATAGGAAGAGAGAGGAAGATAGCCTGCTCTTGTTGTTTTCCTCTCCTCTCTTCTCTTCTCTTCTTCCGAGTTTGATTACCTTGGATCGATACGAGTATTGTTTGTTTGCTCAACTTGGATTGGAATGAACTTGTTTTACCATGCAAACAATTCATTCATTCCTTATTTTGGGTACAAGCTACTCCATGCATTCGCGGATTCCTCCATGCAACCTGATCCACTTATTTTATCACCTATGTGTTTTTTTGTACGGGAGTATAATTTTCATGTTGTAACTATAATAGTGTAAAAAATCCTAAAATTTGTGTGGAACATGGATATGGATAGATTAGAAGCCTAATGCAAAATTAATAGTGGCCGAAGGATAAAGACATAAATTAATTAGTATTTTATGGGTGTTTCAATTATTTTTATATGTGATGTGACATCCTCTAATTCAAATCCTAACATAAGCATATAAAATAACGAAGACGAAAAAGTGTTTAAAAACATATTTTATTGATTAAATAAAGGTTAGTAAATTCTCTTAGATAACATGTTATTAATAAGGAATTAAAACAAATGTTTAATATATTAATTACAAAAAGAAATTGAACATGAAATCCTAAACATAAAGAAATCAATAAAATGAAGATTCTAATTAAATCTCAATACTAAAAAAAACACTCGTTATCGACGGATTTTTTTTCACTGATAAATATTCGTCTAAAAAATAACATTACCGACGGATATTTCCAACGGATATATATCCATCTGAAACATAAATGATTTCGACGGATATTAACCACAGATTTTTTTCGATTGAAATTTTAGATGGATGTTACCCATGAATTTTTTTCGTGAAAAATTTATGATGTTTCAGATAGATATTTCTCACGAATTACCTATCTAAAATGTTCTTTGTAGAAAATGCAAAAAAAATCATCAATAACTTTAAAAAATTTAATGATAAAAGATTAACAAATTAAATTCTTAAATACTTAACTAATTTTCTCATGCTAATTAATTTACTATACCAACTATTATATATATAATTTATAATTAAATGATAGTATAAAATAATAATTTACTATCAATATATTTTAATATTATATAGTTAATTTTATTTAAATTGAGAAATATATAATTAGTGAAATGATATTGATGCATGATAATATAAAATTAAAAGATAATTTCTTAACGTTTATAATAATTTTACCAATTTTGAACTATATTATTTTTAATAAAATAAGATTATTATTTAATATAATTTTAAAATAATTTTTTAAAAATATTATCAATAATATCTACGAAATTATCGACAAATGTATCCGTGGATAATTATTTTTTATTAATAATTTATTTTAAAAATAATAAAATTAATTTATAAGTAATTATGATAAATAAAAATTAAATTAGATAATTACCCACGGATGTATCTGTAACCAAGTCAGAAACAATTCTTTCTCTTCATATCCAATGTCACTAATCATGCGTCCAACTTCAAGAGACTGAGAATCCATGACTCCAAACCACAACTGATGCCATGAAGATGCTCCTGACACAATGATAGTTTTGCAATCTTGTAGAAACTTGATTCACCCATTCCACCTGAAACTTAAAAAAAAAAAAAAAAAAGCTAACATGTAACCGGATAAATCTTATATACCCTTCTTTAGCTTAAGGGACTTAACTAAACCTAAGACTATCTTTGAGACAACCTAACTCTTAGGATTCCTAAACTATCAAAGCTCTAAAACAATCTTCATAACAACACAACAACATTTTATTCATATAATTAAATTAAAAACATCTAAAACACACAATGTTACAAATTTTGCCGTCTATTATTTTTAAAAATTGCAATTCTGCAGCGTTTTAGTCTAAACTTGACAACTTGACCTTTGTTTACTAATTTGATTATAACTTGAGTTTTAAACTTCTTTTTTAGGTGATTTCAACGACATTAGAAAGCTAACATCCAAGAGTACAATTCTTATGAAGATCACAAAATTTGATTATGATGTTGCCATGCCCGACAACATTTTTTGAGCCTAGCGCGGAGAGGACAGAACCCTCTTTGCAGTTCTTGCACCTGACATGGTGAGGTCACACCCAATGCAATATCAATTCATGAGAAACCTATAGATTGTGCAAAAAATGCATAATACAAACCCAAAACTCCAAACCAATCAATAAAAATTACAACTAAAGCTTAATATTGCTATATTATACCATTAGTTACATAACTTCAATATCAATTTCACATGCACATCTCGATTATCCCATATTAACTAATGCGTACATTCCTTAGAGTTCCCACAAAAATCCATGGACAGTCCAAAATCTACAAAAATTAGTTTATATACATAATTTAACAAACATATAATGATCAATAACATCAATTGAAGAATCATTAAGAAGCAAAAACACAAGTTGAGATTAGAAATTGGGATTACTCTCTCATACAATGCATACAACTAAAAAAGAGATTGGAAAATCAATTCCACTATCCAACATATGTCTCACACTCAAAACAAGATTACTCACTCTCTCATTACCTCAATAAGTGTTAGGTGACAATTACAAAGCTTTGGGATGATCTCTTTCATATTCTCCAAGCGTTTTTTCTATTCTAGAGAGAAGAACACGTAACCATACGAGGAAAGCGTAAACATAAAATACCAAAAAAGTGTATTTTTTTATTATATAAAAACTACTCTT